TAACAAGTCAGACCAAAAGTGTAAGAATTCCCTCAGAGTCCTTTAGGTGAAGAAACAAGCAAACCACACTCTCCTTCACTCACTTCCATACCACAAATTGCCATCTAATCTATTTTTCTTCTGAGCTACATCTTCTCAGCATGTCTCAAGATTCTAAAACTGAGAAGTAAAGACTATTTGTAGATGTGTTAGATTTTTGTTTGTTCTGTTTTGGGTGGTTAGTGATGGTGATGAGAGTGGCCGATGTGTTGGAGTGTGTGTGTGTGTCCATCTGTTTTAAACACAAAAATGTTTGATATTACAGTAAAAAGACTTAAATAAGCTTTGTAAATAGCCACTGGACCCAGGAGAGCAGGTGACTAAGGAATGAGCACTAGCTAAATGGTTAAAGCACATTGCTCTCATTTATTTTGACCACCTCTTAATCAATCTCCTTGTAAAAGGTGGCAGTTTTAGGTTATATTTGCAAGGCTTTCCTTTGGGACATAACACTATGTATCTTGGTCTGTACTACAAGAGCAACAGAGAAAGGCATTCAGAGGCCAGTGTTTTTCTTATTTTTGTGCGGAAACAGAAAGAAAAATGAAACCCACAAGTCACTTGGTTTCTCACCTTGAATTTCACAAACTGCCATTTGGATGCTCCCTTTGCAACCTTTCCAAGCATCTTCAGGAGAATCATAATAGGATAATACTCCCCCACAAAGAAGGAACCATCGAGGCTGCCAACCTGAAAACAGAAGTGAGACCATCATTGCAATTACTGTCTGTGTGTAAGGTGCTTCTCAAGACACAGAAGTAGGATACTGAGTCCCAGTTCCAAGGAACTTGACATTGCAAGGGAAATCCTAAGAGNACTTCTGGCCTTCAGGTAGAAATACTGTTCCCCAGGAATTATCAGGTCCATGCGTGTGTTATCTACAGAATGAACTGGGACCAAGGCAGAGGGAGGTCACAGACCTAGAAGAACCCTGTCTGGGTAGCCTCCACCCCACCCAACTTCTTGAGCTCAACTGATGTCAGCCACTGAAGGTTTTTTTCCAGAGAGAATGCCAGCCCTCATTGTCTCTCCTAGTTCCCAAGAAGTTCTGCATACTAATCTCTTCTTATATGCCTCTGCTGACCAAGAGGAAAAACCTTGCAATTGGCTCCAAGGCATCACCAAGACTTTGGCCCAAAAAAGAATCATTCAATTTAACTTTTGGGTTAAACTGATCTTTCATCAGAGTAGAGAGGGAATCTCTCTTCTGGCTTATGTATGTATAAAGAGTGCTGCTCTGAGGCCAAAAAGGCCCACATGCCAACAAGCAAGAGTACATACTTCATCTCCTTGGATTTACTGGGAAGCAATCAAGAACACAGTATTGTTTCTCTTCTACTTCCCGTAACAAGTCAGACCAAAAGTGTAAGAATTCCCTCAGAGTCCTTTAGGTGAAGAAACAAGCAAACCACACTCTCCTTCACTCACTTCCATACCACAAATTGCCATCTAATCTATTTTTCTTCTGAGCTACATCTTCTCAGCATGTCTCAAGATTCTAAAACTGAGAAGTAAAGACTATTTGTAGATGTGTTAGATTTTTGTTTGTTCTGTTTTGGGTGGTTAGTGATGGTGATGAGAGT